GGGAAAATGTCTGACCACACATCTAATCTTTAAGTCTCTAAGGTAGTCCCATGGTTGGAAGTCCATGGGCTCAGATAGGAATACCTTCAAGTTCTGACACAAAGTATCCCGCGACTTTTGTCGAAGTGATTCTGGTTCCACTCCTGAGTCACTCAATGGCCACAGCCGCAGTGTGCAGAGCTGCTCCTTCTTGCTTGAACAACTGATGTTTCCGCTCCTGATGTCCCACAACATTTTCTCTGTGATCTTCGCAGCAGATTCAAAATCTTCAGACAACAATCTGCTGTCACTGTTACAGCACCATCGTCTTCAACCATGAACCAGCCCTAACCACTAATTCTGTACTGACTCGATTCAACACACGCTGTAGCATTCTGTGTGCGCAGGTTTCGGTAAACGACGTTGTCGATTTTTTCTGAACTCCAGTAAATGTGATTTCTTGGGTTCACGTCTCCGTTCAGATAGAAGTGGACTTCATCGCCAAACCACTCTTTCCATGAATGAAAAGGCCTATTATTAGAACGGCACCTCAAAATCGATCGACACATTGTGATCCGTTCCCTGGTGTGTTCACATAAAATACCTTTGTGTACGTAAATATGACATGCCTTCAAATGGAGATTGTGTCTCAAATTTTCTGTAAACAAAAAGTATGAAAGGTGGAGCTCAACACTCCGACGGCGACGACTACGACGTAGTGATGTCTGTGACGTGGTCTCTTCAGAAGGCCGAACGGCGTCAATGTTCTCGGCCTTGCACAAATTTACTGCTATGTCGTTAACCCTTCCTTTGTCGGACACAGACACACATGACAGGTCCTCTTAAAGTCTACATACCGTCCAAGGATAGTTTTGTTTCAGGGAAAATTGCATACCGTCTTATTGTTGACATTCGACGATGAGATTTTTGTACATTATGTGAGATGTAATCTGCATGTTTCAACTCACTTACTTTCAAGGGTGATATCGATCAGGCAACAGTAACTGTCGAGAACTTTTGCTTGAATTGCACCAGAGTTGGGACAACAGATACACATATACACACACACGCACGTGCACGCACACGCACACACACACACACACACAGAGAGAGAGAGAGAGAGAGAGAGAGAGAGAGAGAGAGAGAGAGAGAGAGAGAGAGAGAGAGAGAGAGAGTGCATTCCGGTTTCTGTCGTGTAACAGGCGGTCCTCTCCCTCTGTCTCATGCAGGAGACCCTAGTCCGATTCCCAAGTGGAGAGAATTTTATCGAGTATTCCCATAAGCCCAGGTTGGCCCTGGTATGCACCGTCGGAAGCCCGCCCCCTAAATTATCTAAATTGTGTCAACGGGGTCGTAAAACATATCCAGTAAAATTTAACTTTTCTTCAGTGCTACATATATATTATATATATTATTATGAACATGAAAAGAGCAGAATATAAATATACAAAACACAGGAATACATATAGATAAAGAGAGAGCAAGAGAGAGAATGGGGGGGGGGGAGAGGGGGAGAGAGAGAGAGAGAGAGAGAGAGAGAGAGAGAGAGAGAGAGAGAGAGAGAAAGAGAGAGAGAGAGTGTGTAGGGGATGAGGAGAAGGTGGAAAGCAGAAGAGAGACGGATGGAGAGATATACCAAGAACCCCCTTCCCCTCTTTTTCTCTCCATCGTCAACATGCTCCAGTAGCTATAGAGTTACGTTTGGCTAAGTCTACTAGCTTACTGGCATAGTGAGTACTCTATAGATGAGATCAAAATTTGGAGAAAAATAAACTGAATCAGAGCTAGATGTAGGGTAAGCCAGTTAGAGTACATAAAAATGCATGTTCATTTTTTTTTTCAAACAACCCCTGCTTTCCTTCCGCACATTTTCTCTTACTCATTGGTACAGCCATGGACCAAAACCAGACATTGACCGCGCCTGGAACACGTGCTAGGATTGGTGTATGTGTAAAAAAGGCATCTCATTGGGGACCCGAAAGTGACACCGATAGGTCATACTGTACATGCTATTGCAAAGAATGATCTACAGTACGCACAATCATTGTCCCTCCCCTCCCCTTCTCAGTGGACCAATCGTGGGATGCTTAGACTAGAGTCATTTGTAGATGGTGAAAAATGGGGAAGGTATAAATACCGCATATCACCGCATATCACTAAATATCACCGAACATCGCTAAATAATATCACCCCCAGGTCACTAAATATCACCGCATATCACTGAATATAACTGCACGTTACAAAATATCACTGCATATCACCGAATATCGCAAAATGTCACCGCACATCACTAATAAATATCACCGCATATCACCAATCACCAATCTCTGACTCTCTTTTTGTCTGTGCATCTCTCTCTCTCTCTCTCTCTCTCTCTCTCTCTCTTCCTCTCTCTCTCCCTTTCTCCCTCTCTCTCTATCCCCTCTCTCTCTCTCTCTCTCTCTCTCTCTCTCTCTCTCTCTCTCTCTCTCTCTCTCTCTCTCTCTCTCTCTCTCTCTCCCTCTCTCTCCTTCTCTTTTTTTTTCTTTCTCCCCACCCCCTCTCTCTTTCTCTCCCCCTCTCTCTCTCTCTTTTTTTCCACGAATTGGGGTCTTTAAAAAATGAGGGCGTTTTGAAAAAAATGTCCAGGATTTGGTGGGGACCCTGCAGTTAGTGTTCCTCGAGCGCTCGCAAACTCGCGATTCTGTGAAGCCGACTGAATCACGAATCGCCACTCTCAGTCTCATATTTGGTGACCTGGATCAAGCTCTAGTCTGGAGTCCCCCCCTGTTTCACTCTTATGGCGTATGGTACACACAATAGGAACAAACCAACACCAATGTTGCACTAGGCACATTTCTTTCTCTATTTAGTTATGTGCGGGGATATTTAGTGATGTCCGGTGATATGAGGTGATATGCGGTTTTTATACAATGCGTGGAAAAAGCAGACTCATAGCTCTGACCTACTCGTAGGACAAACTGTCACGCAAGGTTTGAGGTGCTTTGAACGTCTGTTTGATGCGTATGAGGTTATTAAAATTTGTCTGAATGGATGAGTAAAAATCCAAGGATTTCTTTTTTTTCCGAGAGTCCGGTGTCGGTGATCCATTATAAAGGTATTCGTTTTCGGGTACAGTGCATTGGATTGGTTGTTTTTAAAATAATATATCATCGCTGTAGATAATGCTGATCCAATCTCTAAGCTTTGCATTTCTTTTGAAAAGTGTGCTTGTTAGCTCTTGCATTTTCATACGAATAAGACAGCCAATGGTTAGCTGTGTTTATGAATGAACGCAACGCACAAACAATGACCAACGTAATACATGTACTGCAAGCTTCACCAGGACTACACTTTTCAACACTACAACTACTAGTATCTCATAGCGCACAAGAAGTTCATCAAAGTTCACTTAACTAATAAATAGACAATGACGCAAAGAGCCCCATGAACTATTAGTATGAGGTTGTGAGATATCATACGATGCTTTCACTCTACTCGCTGTGAGACAAAAAATACAAAATGCACACACATAACCAACATTATTGCAACACACTAGTCCCCCCCTTTCTCTCTCTCTCTCTCTCTTCCCCCCCCCTCTCTGCTTTTTTTTCTTTCTCTCTCTCTTTTTCACTATCTTCTTTTCTCTCTCGTTCTCTCTCTTTCCCTTTCTCTCTCACTCTTTTTATCCATCACTCCTTACAAAATAATGACACACAATATGGGAACTGTAAGGTAAAACACGGGGAATAAACATGAAATGAAACGTGATCATGAGAGTGAAAACTAATTCTAAGATCGTACCACACATTAGCCTGTACCTTCAAAGAGAGAAACTCGGATTACATGTACTTGCTTTGTGGCCTACACAAAAATCAAGAGGGGTCAGAAACAGAACTAAATCTCGTCAAATACAAAAGCGAATCACATGATTCTGTCAGTGAAAGGAGTGATGGATAAAAAGAGTCAAACAGCTGTCGAATTGAAAGAAGAAACAGCGGTACATGTAATACCGTTGGAAGTTACATGTCGCGCAGCTTTCTGCAACGGAGTATTGACGTCATATTATTATTTTTAGAAACGGGGATTCGTTTTGTCAGAGACGACTCAAAATTTACTAGAAGAGGAGTCCTCCGTTCTGCACATGGTTGCTCAACTGCCAAAAATACACAGATCTTGATCGTCCTGATTGTTTAGGGATTTGAAAGAAGAAGAGGAGCTTGGGAGAACAACAGTACTAAACAGGATAGGGTCATTCGGGGGAACACGGTGTAGTTGTCACTGTCAAATTATGGGCTAATGTGAAGAAAATGCGCCAACTTTTGACAAGGGTGCCCTCCGGAAAAAGCCTATAAATGAGAATTGTTGACTTTTTTATAATGAAATATCAAGCGTTATCGATTCTTTAGATATTCAGGTACCCAAAATTGGAGAAAGTTAAAAATCGATTTTTTGACCCAAAATCGGGTTTTCCAGACCCGTGACATGCTTTAATCCAATCACTAAGAGCTAGAATCTAGTCAAAAAGGCATTTAAAAGTCAGATGCAATCGTGATCATTATTTGATTTAAAACTGTGATTTTTTGTGATTTTGTTTTGGTGTGATTTTATTGTGATTTACTTAGTTTTCATTCATGATTTTTAAAATTTTCCGATAACTCTATACTTTTGTAGAGAGCAAGAATAAATTATATTGTTATTTATATAAACGTTGTGATGCACAATCCTGTATTACAATCTTTAAACTTTAATCAACAAAACGATCACCTATAATTTTTGCCTTTGGTGCCCTTGCAAATTGCCTCGGTGCCCTCTGATTTTTAGGCCCCACCGAGGCAATTTTTGCCTGCCCTTCTGAACACCTAATTCAAGCCCTGCAACAGACAGCAACATATTCTTATTTTATGACGTGAACAATAAAACTGACACAGTACAGCCCCGGTCTATCAAATAACCCACATCTTATACTCATTGCTATTCTTTAGTAAAAGTGAGTCTCTAGCCCCTTTTTTCTACCAAAAATGTGAGCAAAAAAAACCTACTTGCACTTTGAAGCTGGTATAAACCCGATCCCTCGCAGTCCAAAAACTGGCCAGATACTGAAAGGGGAAAAACACAATTTGTGATATAATACATGACATTATTACAAGCTATTTTGAAAACTTCAGAAAACATGACCAATGTGCACACATGGTTTACAAAAAGTGAATTTGAGAACTACACTTGTTTGTCAGCAACAAAAAAATACACCTAGTTCTGCGACAACATACAGAACTGATACCATAAAGCGCAAAAAAAGAAGACATAAGCAAGCTGCCGATTGTGAATTGGCCATGTCAGAAAGCCAAGACAAAAAAAAAAGATATTGCTATAGGGAAAAAATTAGCATAACAGATACAAAGAAAGAAAACTGAAAGGAGCCAACCCAACAAGAATAGTCACTGCACACTGTGCAACAAAGTATGCCTGTGATGTGGGAAGCAAAAAATCCACCCTTTCAGTTTATCAACTTTGCAAATAGAGGACTGACACTTAATGCACAAACAAAATGTATTGTTTGTGATGAAATAGAGAGACATTTTCCAAAATTGCTTTATCAAAAGGACACTTTCATTTCTCTGATCAAAGGCATATTGCAAAAAAAAAATATACTGATGGTGAGAGACAAAAATGGACCATCTCCCTTAAAGCCTATTTTACAGAAAAGGCTAAAGACTAATTAAATTATAAAACAAAACTTCAATTCAAGTTTCGCATCAACATTTCAAGTATTTCAAACTACAGTCAACCCTGTATAAGACGGCCACGCATTGCCGGGGGGAAAAGTGACCATATAAGATAGGTGGCTGTCTTAGGCAGGACTGATCAAAATGAAGAAAACAAACTATTTACTTCTGAGGTCCCAACTGAAGGTGGTTGCAGGCTTAGGACTGCCCTTGGGCTGATTAAAATGTGTAGTAGTTGTTGTTTTATTTCTTTTGAAAGGGGGAGAGGATAGGACGGTTTTTGAGGGACTTTTTGTTGTTAGTTTTCTTTTTCTTTTTAAATTATGGTTCCCGGAAAGGTCAAAACAAAACAAAATGTTTCAGACGAGGAAGGCCAAGTGTCATGGTAAAGCAAATAAAAGGTTCGCCACCACTGGGCGAACGAGAAACACTTCTGTTGCGAGTTTGTGTTGACTTCCATTGTTATAGACTGGGTTTACGACTGAGTTGTGGGCGGGGCTTATACGTTATGCCCGATCACACGCTTCCCTTACCAGCAGCCGAAAATTTATCGTTAACCATTGGTCAACTTGGGTAAACATAGGGAGTGACTTAAACAACATGACCGTTCATCCATTGGAGGAACTGACAACAACGACAGGAGAATGAATTATGATTATGACAGCTTGTCCACAAAATCAGGGGAAAATGCATACTTTTTGACAAAGTCTGGCCGTCTTAAGAAGGTAGATTTGGCCGTGGGTTGATAAAATAGGGTGGCCGCGTTGGACAGGTGCCCGTTTTACACAGCTAATTTATATCGAAAAAACGGAAGGGGGAAATGAAAAGTGGCCGTTTGTACAGGTGGTCTTCTTATAGAGGTGGCCGTCATGACAGGTTCGACTGCAGTTTAATTTGTTATGCTGTTATTGAGAAGATATAAACAAAACAACAAAAGTAAGTTCTAAAAAATTCTGGACTTGGCCACTTGTGCTTAAAATATATAATATGAGCCTTATATAAACAAGTAAGGAAGTCACAGCTTCGAATCATGGAAGTAGCTGTCTGCCTGTGAGCTCCTTACCTTCCCACATGTCATTGTAGAGTTTATCAACAGTGTTGTCCAACTCCGCTTTATCTTGCTCACTCAAAGACAGCTGCTCTGTGGCCTTGACCCAGCTACTGAAAGAACTAAGCCACATGGGAAAGAGAAAGTGAGTAAGTTTGTTGAACAAAGCATTGAAAAAGTTTTCATGATGGACAAACCATAAAAGAATCATATTCAAATCAGACTTGAGCCCTCCAAATCTCCATCAGCTGAAGAAATCCACAAATCAACAGTGACACAGAAGCCAGCTTTATATCTAACAACAGCTCTTTCTCAACTGTATGTATAGGTCATGTGACAGACTTTGTGTCAAGCTTGTCAGTTGCAAAGTAATGCTGCAGTATAGGCTTAGAGACCTAAAAATGAACAATCACAAAAGTACAATTCATGAAATAAAGCTCTCAGAGCAGAGAGAAATTGATTCATACTCCCTAACAAGATAATCCATTGCCACCAGACTATCTGTTGGCAATGCAGTGGGTTAGAATTTCAAGAGAATTAAGTAAGTTTTGATATTACTATCACATTGTTGCAATCAGTCTTTGTCACTTTTGATGTCATTTTTCATTAAGCAACCTACAGGCTTCAGCTCTTAGATTGAAAGCCATGATGGATATGTGTAAGCATTTGTCAACTACTGGCTTGTCCCATAGACTGTGCTCTCAGAGTTTAAACCTGACAAACCCACTAACCACAGATGGTCAAAAATAGCAGAATTTCTCAAAATCTTCTCAGAGAAAGCTGGATTATGGGGTAAACTAAGAGTCACCAGTACTTTAGGTTACCAAGATCAAATAACGAATTGACTGCTGCAAAGAGAAGATAATGAATTGTGAAGAACCAAATTGTTCTACATTTAAGAACTTTAACATGAAAGTAGGGGATAAAAGCAGATTTTGTGGTAAACCACCACTTTTTTAAAAGTTGATGGGATGATAAGAGTAACCATGGACCAAAAAACACATAAACTGAGCAGTCAATGAACACAAGAACTTAAAGATGTTGATGAAACTCTTCGAAGTTTTGGTGTAAGTCAGGTGAAGAAAAAAAGTGAATCTTATACAAACACGAACATTATTGTTCAGAGGCTGTGCCAAGGGAAGCAACCGTTTCATATAAGAATGCACTTTGGAACTCCATTGGTCTTTTCCCTTTACACTTGTGCTTTGACTGTATTCAGGACAAATGTGAGGCAGCGTGGTGCAATCAGGCGCGGTGTCAAAATAATGAAATCGGAGAAATAGGCATTTTTCTGGCCGTTGGGTAATCTTTTTCAAATTTTATTTTTAGCTCGACACTTTTATGTCTATTTAAAAACACTTTCTGTGTGGGTTTTCCACAAAAACCTTGAACAAAGGCACATAAAATGTAAATTTACATTTTCCAAAGACACTCAAGCTTTGGAAATCACAATACTTCGGCAGCCATTTTCTCGCTACTTTTCCCTTCGACATCAGGCGCCCCCACCTCTTTTAATCGCAAATATTCCGACTTCTATTCAAGATAATCGGGTGTTCTTTTTGTCAAATGCAAGACAAATGAAACAGCTTTAAGATTATACTATAAACTCCATATCCACAAAAATTGATGAGTGCCTGATTCCACCACGTTGTGACACAAATATGTGTTGCAACACAGTGGAGTCAGGCGCTCCTTGAGTTTGGGACAAATGGAATCAGGAGTATCATCTTAAAATTGGCATTGCTTTTAATTTTTCTTAAATTCCGATCTTGAAAAGAAGTTGATATATTTTTAATTGAAGGCTGTGGGGTCACCTAATATCAGAAGTAAAAATTAGCGAGAAAATGGTCGCCCAAAGTTTGGTGATTTTCTAACTCTCAGTGACCTTCAAAAATGCAATTTTATAGTTTTTGTGCCATGTATCAAAGTTTTTCCGTAAAATCCACTCTGAAAATGTGTTTTTAAATGGACATAAAAGCTATACTAAAAAGAATTTTATTTCTTTTTAAATTGCTCAATGAGCAGAAAAAGGTTGATTTCTTCAATTTCTTTATTTTGACGAGCACCCGATTTCACCATAAAAATGTACACCTTTTATATGTCCAACACTCAAATTCAGTGATCTTGAAAGCCGAGCTCGATAACTTCATTATATGTTAGTTTCACTGAGCTTGGGCAGATTGGGGAGATGGGTGGTTAAATTAGGTAAAGATAAAAATTCAATTTCACTTAATGCTAAAAGAAAATGTTTTCTCCCAATAGTACCTACCATTGCATCCCTGTAATAAAAGTTGTCATCCTTGTCATCATTAAAATACACATTCCTCATCGCATTTGATATAATATTGTAGTCTAAAACACAATGTGGGTTGCATCCATATTGTGCTCTAAACTCTTCTAAAGACTGTAATCAGCTGGAAATGTCATGGCAAAAGGGAAACAGTGGTCTGTTCTTTTCTTAGCAGTGCCTGTTGATAAAAAGTACTAACCTTGAACCAATACCTTGACCATTGGTCCCAATCAAGGCTACAAGAGAGTTAAACCCTTCAGGAGTGAACCACTGAAACAACAAAAAGCATAATATTCATCTCAGACATTTTTCCCAATGACAAAGTGTACTAAATCCTCAATCAATTTCACAAATAAGCAAGATACTAGAAGGTCCAAGTGGAATCAAGAAAAGAATGCACACGGACAACATAATTATGCTTGGAGTGTTTCGGCTCTTAGCGAAGTAGTCCTTAAATCATTGGGGACAGGTACCAAGTACAGCAATAGCAATCTTTGTCCCCATTTTGAATTGGCTCCTATTAAAAAAAGCAGTTTGCACTGGGGAACTCTCATAAACCTGCCTAAGCACTGTGCTCCAGGCTGGTATCACAGTAGCGGTTTGACACATCCCTGCTCTGACTGGAGAAATGTCAAGACACTAAGAGTTAACCTCTCTGTGCAACAAAAAATTTTCTTTTCAAATGGGGGAAAACAATGGATTTTTTTTCTCTATTTTATCAATTTTCTTTTCAGTACAAATATACTCTCATCCTATCTTTTCAACATACACATCGAGAGCATCACATATGGATGTACATAATATGTACATAATAAGTCAATAAAGCACAACACATCTTCCCTCTTCAACCACAGGAAATTAAAGCCTAAGACATCTATGATGACGCCTTGAAAATAAGAAGGTACCCTTGGCATCCAAGTCAGAAAGCAGTTTTGTGCCCTTCCAGTCAGTTAATCTGCTACTCACCTCCTGAGCAGCTTCCTCGTACAATATTGCAGCCAGCTGTTCCCTCAGCACTTCTCTCTGAACCTGGCAAATATTATTATAAAGCATTAAGCTTTACAATTTTTCTTTATCTCGGAGTCAATGAAATGTGTTTATATAAAACAGCACACTGCAATCTCTAGATTGGTGGATTCAAGTTTATTGTCATCAAGGAAAACAAAGAAAAAAATCAGAAGCACTGTGACTGTGCGAACTTAACACATTTAAAGACACCTTGACAGGAGCAAGAAAAAAGGGGTGGTGCCTTAACGACAGCTACCAGAGAAAATCTAAAATCTATTGTAATGTATCACTTCCCAAACACAAAACACAGCAGGTTGTAAACTGCCCTATGCGCTGAAATGCCATTGAAAAACAGCATGACTGGGACATGTCTCACAGTTAGATCACCTACAAAGTTGATTTTACCCTCTCTCCTAAACAGCATTTGCCAAGTTTCATAGAATTGGTGGACAAAAACAGAAAAGTTTGAATTGCTCATTAACGGGAGGAGCTACCCTTGAGGACCATTTTCTATGTCTGTTGCCCGAGATCAAATGTAAGTACACATATAAGTTAGGCATAGTAAAATCTCTTGATACGCAATTTTATTTTGGCATTGCAACAGCGGTTGCTGTGGAAACAGCCGCCATCTTGAAAATAAACAATGAATTTCAAATTCGTAAGGCGTTCTTATTTACCTACCAAATGTGGTGAGAGTATACCTGAACCAGACCCTATCAGAGTAACAGCAAGCTTATTTCAATAAGTGCAAATGAAAAAAATATATGAGAATTTTCCCAAAGTATAAAAAACTTTTTAAAAGTTTAGGTTGTGTAATCGCTTGCCAATGGAAAAGTGTTATTGTTTTCGCAAATATCTCTCTGTTATATTAATGGCAGCCTTGCCATCTATGTTTCCTGAAAGTTTCATCTCAAAATGATAAAAACTAAGGAAGGAGTAGGGAAAAAGTGGAAAACAAATTACATTTTGCGAAAACTGACTATTATTGTGAAAATTCACTATATTAACCCATCATCATGTTTTCAAAGGCAATTTACGTGGAGAATATACACTTTCTCAATTGTATCCATGCTATTTTTGGACAAAAAACTGGTTGATCTTCAAAAATCAGCCAACAGAAAATTTGCATAGCCTGACCCAAAATCTGCAAAATCAAGGGTCGCTCCCCCCCTTAACTCTTTCAAGACGTAGTTTTTTGGGGGTCTAGACATAATTAACTTGTGGCTTTATTTGGCTATGCAGGTGGTGTACAAAATAACTTCATAGAAGCATAACCATCCCTCAAAACGTAACATATGATATATCAAATTGAATGAGAAATACATCCCAATATGAAACAAGGATTAATTTTGAACATAAGTATGCATTAGAAGGGTTTGAAAAGGCGATGGTGATGAGAAAAATACATTTTGACGAGAAAAATTACATTCACCAAACATGTGAAAGCAAATCAGCATATCTATCTTATATACAGGTCAAGAGCATAATCCATTAATTTCCGAATGCGCAGCTTTTTATTTGAAAGCAATATTCCAACTTTTGTTAGTGTTACGCAATTTATACTGAGTTCGGTTGTATCGTTTTGTTGATGCAAGACAGCAAGAACTAATTCACTCTTTTTTCCCCAAACCCACGCTTTGACAAAGTGAAACTTGATGTTTTTGTTTCCTAAATCCTTTCCGAGTTTTTCAATAGCAATATAAAGTAATTATAAATGATGGATCAAGTTAAAACAAAACAATAATGAGGCACCCTATCACAGCCGATATATCGACGATATGTCCGCAAGGGGTGTGGACTCCGGAAAGAGTTTTAAAAATCGCTTGCTGTCACGATCTTCTCTGATACAGTCAGGCTCCCAACACAATTGGGTGAGAGGATAGCCCATATTAGCAGAGTACAGGCTGAGTGAGTTAATCAATAGCTTAAACTAGTGAAACTGTAGTCAGCATAGCCAATAAGAGTACTTTCAAACACAGAATGTAATTGCTTGAAAGGCTAGAGAAAATACGAAACTAAGTAATATTTTTTTTTTAAACAAACAACTAAGCAGTGGGATGAAAAGTTTACAGTCGTTTAGCTATCCAAGAAAAACAGAAGCAAAAACAGCTGCACATTTGCTCACCTTGAACTTTTCTCCAAGTAGCTTGTGGGCTATATGCTCTTGTTGATTGACAGTGTGACTGATGAAACCAGAGAACATGGAGAGCACTGAGCCTTTATCACTTGCCTGTCAAGAAAAACAGTGTCAACTTTGATGTATTACATGCCTAAATGACTACTATATTTTGTAAAATGAGCCCGGTCACTTGCCCCTTCCTACATCAGATCATCTGCAGCCTGTCACATGAACAAGACACTGGTCTGGCAACCAGGAAAATTCCCCTGACATACACTTTGTGTCTTCTCAGCACGCTGCTCAATCCAACTATTCTACATATCTGTCCCTTTCAACACCTCCAACCGAACCAAATAGGAAGTACTTATTTTACATTTCAGACAAGCCGATTAAATACTCGGGCAGGCACTAAGCTGGATGGCACTTAGTCACAAACTGGAAACAATTTTTACCAACTGAAGGCTAACAGATAATCAAGGACTATAACAGCCTTCCACACTTTGCCAAATATAGCTATGCTGCACTGTGCAACCAGCAAATGCCTGAGTTGTAATTAGTGATGTATTGTGCAATAAAAGCTTTTCGTTTATGTAAACTCTGAAATACTGTCTGCACACATTGTACATATACCTACTAAAATTTGTCTTGCCTTTTTTTATCAGGCTGTCCATATACCTTAAGAAGAGATAAACAACTCACTTGTTTGATCATAGCAATCATCTTGGCAAGTAGCATGATACTGGCAGTCTCGGGAGGGTAGTGGAAGGATCTGAGTAGGTTGTTAGTGGAGTTGAAGGGAGCATTCAACATAGCAGAGACCAAGAAAGGAAAAAAACAAGACACTATGAGAAACAGTAGAGTGCACAGACAACAAAAAGGTGGTTCCAGCCACTATCAATGCAATAATATATACTCTTATATATGTGACATTTCAACTTAGATATTTATACATTTTCTTCCATTGACCCCTTGGACATAAAATTTCCATTCCATACTATGAAATAGCATGTACCATTTAAAATGTAATAATGTATGTCTATAGAAGAAAAAGATGTTTTAGATTAACTGCAGATGTAATTTTAAATTACCAAAAGCCTCATTTGCCAAAGGTAATTCAACCCCTAGACCAGTAAAAGATTTTTCACCAAATAGTAGAGGTCATGTCTAAATCCCCCTTCACACCCTCTTAATATAACCAGTATCTTTTCCAATCATTAATTTGTTTACTCTAGTACAGATCAGACATCCCACTTATGTAATTCATTTCAAAAGAAAAGCATTTGGCCCAGTTTTATGACCAAAAGGGGCAAAGCAGAAACAATAGTTAATAATAATAATGAAAATAAAGATCGCTTCTACAGCATCCACTCCCTGGTGACTTTTGGCATTTCACAATAAAATAATAAACAATTTGACAGCTTACCCAATGATATTTTTCATGCATAACTGCCCATTCAATGTACAACAATCTTTCCAAATATAAATGCATCCATAATCAGACAAAAGAATACATACAACATAAAAAGAGTATACCCGTGGCTGCTAACCATACCATACTTTAAAAAGATTCAAAACTAACTGGTAAAATAGGATTTAAACTTTGCGATGGTGAAAAGTATCCATACCGGTCACCTGACGCAGTTCTGCGCCAGGCCCGAGAAGTCCGTTGCAGTCACTGTCCTGGTTAAGTGACCAGATGGAGTATTTTGTACGGCTGGCTGTGTGACTGCAAAGTGTTAAATAAACGTGTCCATAGACCAGTTTTAAATGTGGTCAACATAGGCCCCTCTGAAGGGAATTCCATACTGAGGGAGCAGCTGTTAAAAAAGCTCTACCTCCATTTTTCTAAAAAAATTTAAAGGCATAGTCCACTGGGGTTTTTGTTTGGGTTTTTTTTGGTTAATGGATCATAAATCATGAGATGGAATATACTCCTGTAGTAAATTAGAAAGGCATTGTGGTTCCAGGTAATCAATAAGGGCTTTGTCAGTGAACCAATAACAAACATCACAAAAGTACATCTGATCACAGACTTTCTTCAATCTTGTGTGCTGTCCCACCATGAGAGTATTTATACCCCTTGTTAAAGAGCAGTAGATCTTTCATTTGCTTGAGAAATGGAAGCACACTGACACAGTAATTATTATAATGGATACTTAATGCAGCAGAGGGGGTAAAAAAAGAAAAACGTGCCAAAAGCACCCTCTAATCGCCCTCAAAGGTTCATTCAACAGCTTCAAACTCACAAAGACTATCACTCACCTCCACGTCTCTCCAAGTACAGCCAAAGGATGAGCAGGGTCCTCTCGAGATGAGCCCATGCACAACACTTGGTGATACAGACTAAAAGCAGCATCTCGACAAGCGGGGCTACAGTAAACCACCTTCAATGGAAAAAAAAATTAATCAACTATTAATAGCAATCCAAACAACAAAGATCCAAAAGACATTGAGATGAAAGGATCTAACAACCAACAAACATTTACTGAACATAAAATCTGCTTGAAACAACAAAGACATTTCAAGCAAATCTAATCTCCATGTATCTGTAACCCACAGCCCTTCTGAATCTTACTGGTTTGGGCAGTGTATGAGACCAAACCTGTCATCAGCATTCTTCAAAAAGAGCTCAAAATTGAGAGGTCTGGTGTGTGCATATCATTATCTTCAGCAGTGACAAGCCACAAAGAACAGACAAAGCATCACAGTTGAAACAGTGAAACTCAACTTCCTATCCAAATAAAATACTATAAAAACGCTTTGATCTTAAGAACAGTAACGAAAAAGACCACAACAGAAACTTCAAGACCTACCGCGTGCTTTCAGGAAAACTAATGACTGGAAATTGTAGAGGCTATTTGAACCTAAAAGGAGGACAAAGACAAGAAGAGAATAATTCTTGACCACAGAATAAACAACAAAGTTTCCTTTCAGAGTGAAAGCATATAAGATATTTAAAAAGATACGTCTAAATAGAACCACAACTTTACTGTACATAAAGCGGCACAGACCCAAGGGAGTGCCCCTAATTTTTTTAATGAAAAAAATTCATGATGAAGTCTCAGATGAGATGCATACATCACCTAGGATACTAATATTCCAGAATAAAAAGCATGAGGTATCAAATTTCCCATTTTCTTAAAATTGCACACGCCTTGTCAAGTTAAGCAGGAGAAAAAGCAACAAGCTTACATTTGCAAATAGAGAACTGTATTTTATATATTTTATCTGCTGTGCAAGCAGTAACAACCTTACTTAGAGCATATGAGTCACCAACCAATCTAAAAGTGTGTGGCTACATTTTGTCAATTAAAAATAGAGAAGAAACCTTTAGCAGTAAAAAAAATGGTGCGAGGCAGACTGGCAAAGTAACAACACATGAAAGATTGTAGTATGCGAGTTGCCAAATTTTTGGGGCATCTTCCCTCACAGTATGATAAAACAGTATTTATTATATTTGCATTGTTTCGCTAAAAAGATGAAGACAATGATATGCACTTCACAGCATGTCCAGACCAAGAAAACCTGGCACTGGTGACCCGTTAACGGTCACTCAAGATCCCACTTCTGTGAGGATTTTACTAAATCACCTTGTTTAAAGGCACAAAAAAAGTAAATTTTCATTTCCCAAGGACTCTCAAGCTATGCAAGCTATCAAACTTTGGTGGCTATTTTCTCGTTAATTTTATCTCTGATACCAGATGACCCCCACCTTCTTCAATCTGAATTTTCATGACTTCTATTCAAGATAAATGGGTATTTTTTTCATCAAATGCAAGACAAATGAATAAGCTTTAAGACGACACGATTAACTCAACGTGCCCAAAAATTGACGAGCGCCTGATTCCACCGTGTTGTGACACATATAGACAGCTGGTCGCTAAGGACAGGGTCTGACTGGAAAAGGCATAGTAGAGACTATTACTTTAATTATTCTAGTTTCAGTAAGAGTTTTACGGCACTTGCAACACAATAAGGTCATATTTAAAGTGCCGAAGAATAGATGTGTTACAAGAGAGTAACATACACAAAAAAGAAGGAGGGGAGATTTATATAAGGACGACAGATGTTTGATAGGAAAGAAGGAGCAAACCACAGCAGAGCACCCGCCAACCACTCACACTTCAATTATGACAATGGATTCTCACATTGGACTTGTTGACCACCAACAAAAACAATTAAGCTAAAGATAAACATACCCTCCTGTGGCTCCAACATTGTACATTGTTATTTTATTTTTCCATTTTAATTTCCATCTAATTTGTTATCTTTATCTATAAAAGCTTTTTAAGAAGGACATTTTACCAGAAGATTCAAACGTCCCCAGGTTAGCAGTCATACACAAAACTTAAAACAACACAAGAGGAAAAACACTTTTTTTTAAAAAATACCCTGACCTAGGCAGCCGACGTCCACTGCAAGAAAAGCTACACGACCTGTCATATGACTGCAGCTTGACATTTACCGAGGTCAGCAGCAAAGTGTTTGTCGAGTAAGGTATGGGAAGAGAGAGTGAGCCCAGTTCACTGGACACTCACACATCACTGGGTAAACGCTGCAGCAAGTCCCGCCCCCTCTTGTTTAGTAGGTTGTGCCTGTACATGCTATAAGCCCAGCTGCTTATTTGCAATAATTGAACGTACATTCTCATTCTGAGGACAGGTTGGAGGAAAACCCCTGTAGCATGTGACTTCTATGAGTAGGTTTTGAGACCAATTCGTCACTAAAATGACTGACCATGGCCAAATTGGACAGGGACTACTATGGACAGGTTAAAAATGTTAAAAAAGACAAGGGTGCCAAAGAAAAGTGGCCATTAGTACAAGTGACCGCTAAGGGGAGGAGACCACTAAGGTGGGTTTTTTACTGTAACTGGAATTCTAATTTTCAGAGTTGATTCAATGCAATTTTAAAAGACATGTGACAAATAAATGTAACCTACCACAACAGTCTCAGAAAGAAGAAATTTAACATGAATCTGTTACTTGTAAGGCCAGACTATAATTTACTTGTAAAATATTCAGTACATACTGCCAAAATAGATTGCATTACTTTAGAAATGACTCTGTGCGACAGAGTGAGAATTTAAAAAAGAGATCGTAGGAGAAAGGAAAAAATCGAAACAAAAAACCCTTAAATTAGCAGTTTAACTAAAATAAACCACCTTACTTGACATTGAGGACACTGGACAAATGATGAAGGATCAACTTGGCAGCACTCTGGATGTGGAAGTGACACCCCAGTGTTGCCTGTCAGCCTTTGTGCCATTTTTTCAGCCTTCTCTAGCGATCTCAGGCAGAACTCACAAGCTTTATAATTGTACAGCTCATTCCATGAGAACTGAGCACAAACTACTGGCTTTTCCTCCAGTATGACATCTCCTTTTTTGAATGATTTTCTTGCAATCAAGCCCTTTCCCTGTGAAAATAAGCAAGTGTACAGTCACACTAAATATAACACTTTCAAAATATTATTCAAAGGTATTAAAAAAGTGTAATAAAGGCAAATATGTGTCTGCCTATTGTTATAAAAATGTGAAACTTTCATCATTTCTGTTACAGGGCAATTCCAATTAGCATAACTTACCTGTTTATAATGGGTGTCAGTGGACTTTCTGTTTTAAAATTGAAATTCCCCAAGCAGGTTGTGCGTGCGCCAGCTATGAACGTCAATGCAGGATCTTAAGACTGACAAATAGTTCTCAGGTGACGCTTTCATTTTATTCTTTCCCTTTGTTCTGTGTTTATTAGAGCTGTTTTGGGGGGTTGTTTCTAGAGTAAAGTGGAGTTAGCATTCTACCAAACCATCTGACATTGATCTCCAGCAGTTTGTATCATTGAGCTGAGTTCACTCCAAGTTGTTTTAAGTTTTCCTACGCCGAGTAATCACAGACAATGACCATCACATAATTACCGAAGTGTATAATACAGACCCGGTAACCGGGAACAAAGTCACGAAGTATACAGACCCGGTAGGGGAACTTTTTTTGTGATTTCGGAAAGTTTCAGCACTCAGACCCGGTAGTGTGTTTGTGTATGTGTGTGTGTGTGTGTGTGTGTGAAAGAATGAGAGAGAGAAGTGCTAGCAAAATATGACATGCCCCAGTTGGCAGGAGGGAACGAGAGAAAGACAGAGTGGGAAATAGGTAGGGAGAGAGAAAGACAGAGACAAACAATGAAAAAGAAAAGGCGAGCGATACACAGAGGAGAGAGAGAGAGGCAGAGAAATAGAGAGGGTCACTGCTCGATTGAAATTATGCATTGTTCTTTTCTTCAAATTATGATTCCTCCAACTCCGAAACGGAGGAAAAACGATTGTTCATCGAAAAGACATCCGCAATCTTCATTTAGATCCTAGATCTAGGCTAGCCTCGAAACTAGATCAATGATTTATTTCTGTCTGTCTAGAACTAGACCTACGCCATGCCATAGACCTAGAAGAACCTAGATCTACCCTGAGCCAAGAGGGCGCTGAAATTTTCCGAAATCACAAAAGAGTTCCCCTACCGGGTCTGTATACTTTGTGACTTTGTTCCCGGTTACCGGGTCTGTATGTATACACTTCCTATAATTACAGCATAGCCCTCTCATTAGTCTCACACTGTCATCCCCCTGAATTTGACCACGATTTGATGTTTTGCAATTCGGTCTGAAAGGCTATCTCTCCGGCACGTGAATCAAAAAGTAACCGTTTAGACTTAGAACCAGAAGTAACCACCATTGGGGTCAAAACTAGATCTACTAGATCTAGAATCTAGTCTAGATTCTAGATCTAGATCTAGATTTTCTCTGGGTTATATTTTTCATATTCGGACTCGAGTCTGAATAGTCACTTCGTTTGTCTGTCACGAAAGTTGGGACCACATATCCAAGTAGCGTCGAGCCCCAAAATCGATGCTTTTTCGGTAGTTCCCACCCCCCTTATTTGAGCCTAGAATCTAGATCTAGATTAGATCTACATCGAGATCTAGATCTAGACTAGATTCTAGATCTATAGATTCTATACATTTAATGCGTGGCCAGCTAAGCGCCTAAGATTCTATCAAACCTAACAACTGCAAAACATCAAATTATGGTAAAATGGAGCATGCCCCCCTGAAACCCCCGGCGCTCTTTCGGTAGTTCCCACCCCCCTTATTTGATAGAGCCTGACCTACATCTAGATCTATATACTTAATATACGTTTGATTCGCGGCAAGCTAAGATGTCAAACCTAACAACTGCAAAACATTAAATTGTGGTAAAATTCAGGGGGACATGCCCCCCTGAAACCCCCCACCTTGTTTTTATTAGGTCAGGGGGGCAAGCCCCCCTGAAACCCCCCTACTCTTGGGGCCAAAACCGGCGAATAACAAATGCGGGGTGGGAACTACCGAAAAAGCACCAAACCCCCCACCATATTTTTATTAGTTCTAATCTAGATCTAGATTCTAGATCTAGATCAGGGGGGCAAGCCCCCTTGAAACCCCCCTACTCTTGAGGCCAAAACCGGCGAATTTACAGTTGCAGGGTGGGAGCTGGTCGAAAAAGCGCCCCAAAATCTAGATTCTAGATCTATCTAGATCTAGATCTAGCTATATATATATAGATATAGATTCTAGATCTAGTCTAGATCTAGTATCTAGATCTATATCTAGATCTAGATTCTAGATCTAGATTTTTCTAGATCTATATCTAGATCTAGATCTATATTAGTTATGTCTCATGAAAATTTCAAATTTCTCACAGATTAAAAATTTTACAATAGGTGGATGCAGCTTGAAAAATGCTTTCCAGTGGTACCAAATTTAGCATTCTACGATAATTAGAACTAAAGTTATGGCGTCTTTTGTAACGTAAAAATGATTGTTTAAACATATAGAAAAAATGACGTCAAAATTGTGACCGAAAAATTGATAAAGTTGAAAAAGGGCATACCGCTGTTG